TAATGCAGCGGCCTCAATAATTAGAATAAGGTTTTGGGGGTATTATATACTCTCCTTAAATATGGTTTTGGGGTATATTCTTTGCTTATAACAGGGTTTCGGTGTATATTATACTATACTTATAATAGGGTTTTGGTGCATATTATACTATACTTATAATAGGGTTTTGGTGTATATTATACTATACTCATAATAGGGAACCCCCAGAACACTTATTGAGGCCCCTAGATTAGCTCATTTGCCCATTGAAGCTCCTGTCGGGATTAAGCGTTGAGGGTCTAACGTGCAATGGTTTAGGGTTTAGGTTTAAGGGTTTAGAGTTTAGGGTTTAGGGTTAAAGGTTTAGGGTTTAGGTTGGCTACTGCCCCCCATACAGTAACAGTCTATAATAGAGCTACTATTAAGGGCCTAATATAACCATAATGTAGATATTATCCAAATGTTACTGAGTGCAGTACCCAGGGTTTAGGCGGTGTGGGGTGTAGGGCTCAGGGTTTGGGATTTAACGTTTATGTGGTTAGGGTTTAAAGCTTCAGTTAAGATTGAGGGTCTTGCGTTGAGGCTTTTGGCTTGAATGCGTATTCTTTAGGCTCAACGCTTACAACTGATTCTTCGACGGGCTACAAAAGTGGTGTAGGCTTAGTGAATTAGGATTCCGGGTTCTGATAGAAAGGGAGTCGCTCTACAAGCCAGGACTAGGCTGCATAAGGAACCCTCATGTGCAGAACCGCCATATGGCAGGCAGCCGTTTCAGTGTGTTGTTTTTTTCGCATGTCGGGGCTAGGAGTTGAACCAAAATTCGGTTTACCACCGCCAAAAAACAAAACCTGCATTGACGTGATTATGAGTAAACACTAGATGAGCATTCATCCTGATAACTTTCCCTAGGCTCCATGTAGCTATAGACAGTATATACTTAGGCCTGACAACAGTCACTAGATCGGCGCTTTAAGGCCTAAGTATATACTATCAGACACCTGGAGCCTTAGGATTTGATATCTCTACGGCGACAAAGCCACGAGGTTTCATAACCAGATCCCCACATTACTCCAGAAGCAACGCAGCCAGAACCGGTTGTGGGGCCCATTACAGACTGTTGCGTTACGACTTGGCCGAAAACTTCTTAACTCTGTTGATGGATATTTCTTATGAGCTGATGCGCAGCTGATGCTCACTGATTTTATTGGACTTCTCGCCGGATCCTGCTCATGATGCTGACCGAGACGTTTCTGGTGCATTTTGTCACTGGGGGCCCATTTTTTGTCATGCAGCTGATGCTCACTGATATATTGGACTTCTCGCCGGATCCTGCTCATGATGCTGACCGAGACGTTATTGGTGCATTTTGTCACTGGGAGCCCACGTTGGAAGAAAACTTTGGCCGACCCTGGTCCGAAACTGACGCTGATACCCACAGGAGCTGCTCGCCGCGTGGCCTGGGCACAACTGCCAATGAACAACTGAATGTGCAAAGGTCTGCAGACTGCCAGACGTGCCTAGAAACCCATGAGCGAGACCACCAGCGAATCCGCGTGTTTGGCACGACCTGCAGGCAGGCAGGCAATAAATGTATAAAAGTTATAAAAGTAAAATGAGCTCACGCACATGGCCCGTGCACGCAATATTTCAATGCTTGCTGCTTTGCCAAGCTGACTTCTGGCCACGGTCTGGCGGGAGAAGTGTGAGTCAGGGGGTCGACACAGCCTATTTATTATTATTGACCCTACAGCTAAGAGTTTTCAAGAGCTGTACTCGAAGATGACATTGCCATTGCGACATGCAGACTACAGCTGTCGACCCCGTAGACAACTGACTAGACAACTGACACGGAAACTCATGGCCCGTGCACGCAATATTTCAACTCTGCGCTTGCTGCTTGGCAAAGAAGCTGACTGCTGGCCACGGTCTGGCGGGACAAGAGCGTGCGGACTTTTAAAAACCCACCAAGTGTGAGCCAGGCTACAGAGTGTTGGGGTCGACAGAGCCTATTGGACCTTAAATTAGAGCTAAGTTAAGTTTTAAATGGCTGTACTCGACAAAGACATTGCCATGGTGACATGCAGTCTGAACCGAGTCGACCACGTAGCCCTGACAACTGACACGGAAAATTGAATTACAATGGTGGGGCTGACTGACAGACAGACAACCGCACTCAGATCTCAGCGTTGCCGTCTTTCACGATCAGCTGCTTGGACAGCACGATGGCGACACCGTAAGGCGACAGCGCACCGCCCTCCGACGCTGGTGCCTTGAAGATCCAGCGCAATGCGAGGCGGTCGTTCGACGCTGCCATGGCCAATACCTGCGGGACCAGGGACAATAATAACCGCAGTGCAACAACAACAACAGACACACTACAATCTTAAACAACTAGTTCGTCGGTAAGGCCGCTGAACAAAGCAAGCGAATCGATGGGTCTCCCTTTCCGGATCCGCCGGGGAGGTACGGACGCACCGGCCCTCCGTTCAAGCCACCCCCAGCGGGCGCATTAGCG